AATGAAAACGAATAGAAGTCAAGGAACTTGATTTAAGACTACTACTCAAAACTAAAGGAAAATTTCATTTAAGGTCACTGACTAGTTCTAAATATATAATGTAATTATATTATTTTTGTTGTGAAAATGTTCTTCAAACTATGAAGCTAATGTTGAAACACAAACAAAGCTGTCCATGACTAGATATTTTACTCCAAGTTTCTATCAAATGGTAAAATATCTTTAGCTTTCATTTTTTTTGTGTTTAGTCACAGTATTATTACTATTATTATGTATAATTTCCAATCATTCACTTGTCACAAACTCTTTATTTGGATTGGTAATATGGAAATTGTTAATATGAACAAAGATGTATGGAAGGATGATTTTCTGATATAAAAACATACAAATATAGATTCACATATATTAGAAAATTCAATCAACCTTATGGCTCTTGTATTTTACACAACCTTGTAACCACCATATATATACCATAACTATGAGGGTACTTAATGTATCTTTACAAAATTTGGTAATCTTTCACTAAAAATAACAAGTCCTTTGTACATAAAAAATCAGATTTTTCAATTAAATATTTTTTACTAAACATTTATCTGTTCATATATGGAGTCAGACTTTTGACTGCTCAAAGTGAAAAGTGATTTTAATGTTAAGATCAAACATACTTTTCTTCACCTTAAAATTGTCAAATTTCATTTGCATAACCTCTAAAACATCCTAAATAAATATCAAACTTTTTGTCAGTAAAAACCTTTTACTTTATCTGTTATTTTCTCTACCCTAACTCCATACAGACTTGGTAAATTTGACTATTCTTGTAACCACCATAAGAAATACTAAATAAAACTAAGTTACCTTTATTGTAACAAAAAAATACAATTGTTTATCTTAAATAGCTGAATACTTGGTACAGTATATACCTGTTTATACTTAATTTTATTGTTTTATTGCCCTCTGAATTGCATATAACTAATAATCACACAACAAAAGTTGTAAATCACTTGGCAAATGTACAGCTTACATTATGTATTGAATGAAGTAATGCAAGAGCTGATTATGAGCATACATCGTGAAGAATTTTTATTATTATTTTTTACTATCTTACCTAATCTAACTTAACAAGTTTCTATTATTTTTACATTTCAGTTACTTTTGCAACAATAAATAAAGAATATATATGAAAAAACAGAAATATAGTACTTACCTTAGACCTCATTTTTTTGCTGTTGGTTGCCAATGAAATTTAAGTCAAACTTTTTTATACTAATGGTACTAGTACACTAAATAATTTCCATTTGTTTAAATAATGCACTTAAAAACACAGAATAATAATATGCGGAAAGCAAACAATGTCCTACAACTATTATAATTTAACTGGCTTTCTAACTAGGACCAAATGGGCTTCAATTAATTCCCTTTGTTATTCAACTTGAACAATGAGAAAAACTTTCAAACTCAAGAAGAAATTTACAATATTTGTACTGAAAACAATGTAGCATTATACGGCATTCAACAGATTAAAATAAATGACATAGTATAAAATGTCATTAGAGAACTATTGGCAATTTATGAAAGAAAGGATGTGTCAGCTGGGTCTGATTTTATAGTTCATGACTTTGTAAACAAATAAGATTAAACACAATAAAAATTAGACTTTGCCTTAGTAATTTAAATTAAATTCTATACTTTAGAGAGGAGTGGTTCTCAAACCTTCTAAACCTACTAGGCCTAAAGTTCCACTGAAACAATATCATTCAAATTTATTATATGGTCGTTTTCTTTGGCATGATTGGTTATTGCAGGTATATCAGTATTACTAAGTCTTTAATGACTATTTTGTATCCGAATTCTAAACTTTTTTTCGTCTTTTTGTTTCTCCAATTTACTGGAAACCACACATTCACAAATGACGTTGTTCACAGCATTGTTAATCTCTCTAGGATCATGAAGTGCTTTTATGTGTATCAACTGCAATCATATTGCATTGTGGCTTCTGAACACCTTACACTGTTTATATACTGTCTGTGTGTTTTCAGTGATATAGGGAAATATGGTTATATGTTTGTCTTTCTGTTCATACTCGTTGTTCATCATCTTTACTGTCTTCTTTACCAAGTGTTTCGGGTACCCATTGTTAAGTAAGGTTGTAGTTATGTGTTTTTCTTCCTTCTTCATAGCTTCATACACATTACAAATCTTGATCATTCTTCCTTTACATTGTTGGGGTGGTTTACTTTATAGTCAAGGTATTTACCAGTAGCTATAGAACTCTTGTAAACACCTGTGGCATGAATTATGTAACTTCGTAACCATCAGGTAAAGGAACAGAAGTTTCTCATTCTTTGCCATTTCCATAGTGAATCGTATCATGGGATGTTATCTTTTCAGAAAGTTCATGAATTCCTGAATCTAGTTTGTAGTACTTGGCCATATATCTGAGCCAAATCTTGGAGTGTAGAGTGGTTGTTTTTAGTGTTAATTTCAGAATGTTCCACATAAAGGTTACCGAGTACTGTTGGCATGGTTAAGTCCACAGCTAGGCCTTGTCACTGGTAATGAATATCATGTTGGAAGTAGGTTATCTTGATACAGAAGGTTGCAAGTCTGTTAGCTGAGTGTACTCCTTACGAGTTCCATAACTTTCAACTATTGGATAACACACAAGACTTCTAGCAAAAATCAAGAAAACTCAGAATACCCAAAAGTAGCAGGTAACTTTCATATAAAATAACATAGTGAGATAAAATACTATCAGTTTATATTAGTTTCAATGATATACAACTGTTATTGCAAAATTTATTTTCATAAAATAGATTAATGCATAACATTACTAAGTCTGTGATTGTATTGCTAATAAGCATGTATAAAACCTAGTTTTCAGGTCAGCAGTTGAGGCCACGTTGAGAAATGGCCTGTTATACAGTTTATATGATAGTTTTTATTTCATACATTTTTGATGTAACAAAAATATGTAATTTAGATTCAAAAATTTTCAATGGTAATCATGCTTTATGTTTCTTTAGTGCCAACGTTTTTAATATAGTTTTATTTCTCAGTTATTAACTTTTATGATTGCAGAAGTAGCCAAAATCATTCCACTGTGCTAGAAAATATACACTGTCTTGTTTCTATGCATTGTCGGTGCTACTATAGCGTGAGGTCTACCGCCATATGTCGCCTATAGCGTGAGGTCTACCGCC